TGTGTCTGGCCACTCACGTAGTTGTCCCGCGCCGACCAGCCCGGGTACAGCTGCATGTGCAGCTGCCTTTCCTTGCGGGCCAGCTCATAATACTTGGCCTGCTCCTCCCGAGACAGTGCGTGCCACTGTAAGAGGGACAGCAGGCGGTACCTCAGGGGAGCCGTGAGGGTGAAGAGATCGGAGCCATCCCTGCCAGCCCGCTGGCCCCGGGCCTCACCCTGCGACCCAGGATCTGGTTGATGGCGGCGCTCTCCTTGAGCGTGCACTCTGCGATGACCTTGGCTCTCATCTCCTTCATGTACAGCATGAACGCATTGAGGGGCTTCTTGATGGTTGGTTTCTTAACCTCCTTCTCTGCCTTGGATTCTGCCTGGGTCTTCCTGAGAGGCAGATACCCAGCTGCTTGGAAGGCCCCCTTACCTAATGCCACCCCCCCTGCTCTGCACATGCACAATACTGGTTTTGTGAACAGAGTCTTTTAACTGCCCCGAGTGAGTGAGCGGACAGCCAAGTAACTGTTCTGCTAGGGATACTACAGCCAAATGGAAAGAGCACATGCATTAAGGACTTCTCAGCCCCCCATCTTGGCTCAGACACAATCTTTGTTCCTCACCCCATCCATCCTCCCACTTCTGGACATTAAAAAAGTGGTCAATAGAGCGAGCCCAAGGACAGTCCTAGAGCCACCAGATGGCCTGCCTCGGGCCAGGCGGAAGTGTGTCCTGGCGGACCAGCGCCTGCTCCCTGCCCACCCCACCCCTCGCCGTCCTCCCACAGCGTGTGCACTCACAGGCCACGGTCGTAGGGCTGCAAGTCCTGCTTCCCTGAGGAAGGCACGATGGCCGGGTGGGGGATGGCCGACGGGTGACCAGGGACGCCAGAGCCCAGCATGAGGGATGGGTGGGTGAACCTAGAGGAGTGGGGGAAGTTGACACTGAGCCCAAAGGTACAGGCCAGACCTGTGGACACACAGAGGCCCTGCACAGTGCACAAGGACGCTGAGCAGATACCCACCCCTGGTGGCCCGGACACCAGCAGAGAGACAGATCCGGGAGGCCACTCCTGCTCTGTGCAGCTGAATTTCCCACTGCCAGACTCTAACCTAGGCCTCGCTGGGGCTGGCACAGCACTGCCTGAGCGTCACTACTGACATTGGCAGCCTCCTCTCTGCCCCTCCTCTGTGTCCGGCCTCTCCCCACCCCAGCCAGCCCTTACTGCTGTTCCCCTTCCCCTTTCTCAGGACGCGACGCGTGACCCTTCCCACGAGGCTGTCTTGATTAGCAGGCCTGGTCAGGGTCTCCTTGGGGCCCTCATTACCCATGTGGCCGTTTAACTACTGGTGCTGTGTGTACACCTCCTACCCTGGGCTGTGACCTCCAGGAGGGCTGGAAATGCCTGCCGAGTTCCTTGCTGTTGCGTGCCAGGCACCAGGTCTGTCCCTGAGGGAAGGAGCTCATGAGGAAACACACGCACTCGCCTCCCACCTCACTTCCTCGCTGTTCTCGGAGATCTCTGCCCTCTGCTGCGTGCACACGTATGTAAAGGGGACAGTCCAGCGAGGGTGTGTGGTAGGCACGTGCACTGCCGTCCCGCCCGCGTGGTCACTGCCTAGCTTCCTTCTCAGGCACGGGGCAGCAGAGGGCTGCGGGATGACGTACGGACAGATGGACAACGACTGACACAGGGGAAGCACTAGCCTGAGCATGGCCTTGTGTGGGCAGTGAAGCCTGGGCAGCAGGAAGCAGGAGCCTGACTCACCTGGGGTAGGGGGCGCCAGGGGCTGCAGTGGGGGCAGGGAAGTGCTGTCTATATCCGCAGGAAGGGGACAGGGGGTAGAGAGGAGGGCTGGGCCTGTGGTTGGGAGAGACAGCTGTTAGCAGTCTGGCTGCCGGCCAGACATGTTGAAGGACTTTCACACCTTGCTGGCCTGACCCTGGACTTGGAGATGCACCTCTGCTGGGATGGCGCCAGTGTTTCCAGCACCTGCCACCAGGGGGCAGCTTGTGCTGCTAGTATTTCCCTCCACCGGCTTCAGTGGTGCTGCATAGGTGGAAGTGGCAGGCTTCTACTGGGACCCAAGCCTCCTGAGTTTCCTGGACAATACAGGGCCGATACCTGTCCTTGGGCCTTCACGGTCCAAGCGTGTCCGTTTCAACTTGCAGTTATCCCAAGTCTTGCTTGGCTGAGTGACAGTTTTTTCCCAAAAGCTCAGAGATCCCAAGCTGGATGAGTGCCCCTGGGGCTCCCAAGTCCCCAAAGCCAGGCTGACGGTACCTGTGACTGCCTGGCCACTTCCCTGGGTCTCACTAGGCACAGTTCTAAAAGGGCAGTAACCCTAAGAATCATGAGCTGTGTTTCTCTGTGCTCAGAACCCTGCCTAGCAAAGCAGGCTGAAGTACCCCACCTTTTCTCCTGGCAGCCAGGGGCTACCTGTGGGAGCTGAGAACACCGGGCTCCCACTCCCTGTGCCTCCCTCCAGGTCCAAGTCTGTTGGCCTTTGGAGCTTCTGGCCCCCAGGACCCTACAAAGGCTGGTCAGAGATGTTTCCGTAGGACTGCTGAGCTCTGAACACTTGCCTCACCTCGATCCCAGGAGCGCTCCTGACTTGTATCTAGAATGGAGCTTTGTTCAGAGAACCCGGAAGTGGGAGAGGGCTGGACATGGGTAAAATGCGAAGGGGCTGGCGGGCCTTCTGTGCTGCTAGGTGACCGCCCCAGCCCTGCAGCTGGAGGCCTGCCGGGTCACGCTGCAGTGGGTGAAAGGCCAGCCGGCCCACTGAGAGGCCTGGAGCCCAGTCAGGCCTGTGACTTGGGGGTTCTGCCCGCCTTCCCCTGGTCATGTCAGGACACAGAGGCCAGGAGATGCACCCCCTGCTCCCTAGGAAGCCGAGAATCAGCACCTCCTACCTTTCTTCCTCGCATACTCCTGGCTCTGATGGACCCTGAACAGCCCAGAGTTCTCCCAGGAGGGGGAGTTTGGGTGCTACAGAGCTGGACCAACTGCCAGCTCTCCCGCCTCCCTCAAAGTGTGTCAAGCTACACAGTGCCCACCACGGGGAAGGCCAGGGAGCCGCAAGAACCCCTAGCTCACAGCCAGGTCGGGGCGGAGCCGCTGGCCACCCTGTGTGCTGTACACAGAACTGGTCACAGGGCGCACAGCACGGAGACGGAAGAGGAACACAGGACAGCCCACACTTCCCCACTGGGGCACTCACCAGCTCACAGTGTGGGGAAGCTGTCCCATGCTGCCTGAGGTCAGGGAGTAGAAGCCGGAGAGGTCGGGAGTCTGCAGGGGCCTGTGAACTCCTGCAGGGGAAAGGGACCCGGCACCAGGTAAGGGCAGGCTGACCTCGGGGTGGGGGTGACTTCAGCAGTTACTGTGTCCTAGAGAAGTCCACAGCGAACTCTTAAGACCCGTCCGCCCTTTGCTGGAGGTCAGACATAAACCTGCTTGTTCAGGGTCATCCTGGAGTGACAGTGGCCATCCGACAGGCAAGGGAACCGAGGACAGAGGAACTGGGTAAGCTGCACAAGGATGCCACTGGCCAGCAGTTAGAGTTGGGGTCCCACGGCAACTGGGGACCCTCTGTGGGGTCAGTGTGGCTTTGGGGCAGAAGGCAGGCCCCTGGACGGGCAGGACCTGGCCTGGACAGCCAGCGCTCCACCCGGGCCCTGGCTTGAATCAGCAGGTTTCCCACAGCTGACGGTGGATTTCAGAATGACTTTAGCCCAGACTGAGGTGAATCAACCATCCCAACCACCACTTTCCATTTCTCACTGGGGGAGGGAAGAGCTGCCAGTTCTGCAGTTAGCAGTGCGGGGGTGGGGGGATGCTGCTCATACTGGCTGTGCGGTCACTGCAATGTGCAGCCAGCACCTCCCCCAGGCCCTGGGATCCCCAGACTCCCTAGCTGAGCTTCCTGGCATCTTCGGGCCTCGGGTTTGCACAGCCCCAGGGTTGTCCTGTGGTAGAGAGGGCCCAGCTACCTTATCTCGGAAGCCAGAAACTCGGGCCTCAGCCTCTGGTCTCCTCAGGCCCATACCTTGTTTCTGGCTGATGTCCGCAGCGGCCTGCGCAGGGTGTGGGTTGCTGAAATGTTCGTAGAGAGGAGAGAGTTGGGGGACGCTGTGGGGGGGCTGGCTGGCCTTGTGCTGAAAACAAGAGGAGGCAGGGTGAGCACCGGGAGCCCCGAGGGAAGCAGGCCTGGGGTGGAGGCAGCACTCCCGCTGCCCTGTGCCCCGGCACTGTCTTCCTGTGCACTAGGCCCTCTGCCCAAGCAGTCCCGCCTCCCAGGAAGGAGCTCCTTGGCCTTCCTGGCACTCTAGGAAGGCAGGTCTGTCCTGTCCAGGGAGGTTTTCTCAGCCTTTTCATACCAGAGCTGCCCATTTCCCTGAGCTGACTAACAGGGCCGCCCACAGCTACCAGCCACAGGCAGCGGGCTCTGGAATTCCTTGGTCCTCCACCAGCCCCAAGCCTGGGCTTCCTGACGCTGGCCCCCGGGCCCACCACACTCCTACAGGGATGTGTGAGCTGGGGCAGGGCCCCCTGTGCCCTGACTCGGGAGGTGGGCCAGGCTCCCCTCCACCCCTGCCAGGGCGCCCAGCCCCCACTCTTCCAGTTTCCTCCGCACCGCAGGACTCTTACTTTCACACTAGTTGCTTGGCTGGCTGTCCTGAGATGACTCAGTCAGCAGGCTGGGAAGCAGGCTCCCCACACAACCCAGCCACGGGGAGTCGCTGCCAGGCCTTAGCTCGCACCAAGTGAGCTCGGTGTGGACCAGGGCTCTGGAGACATCTACAGTTGAGGCTGGGCTTCCCACTTGGGAAAGCTTGGTCCTGGCTGAGACCTCTGACCCAGGTCCCGGAAGAAATGCGGACATCTCGGGAGGGATGCCAATGGTGGCCGTGGCCTGGGCTCCTGGGTCAGTTTCCCCAGTGGGTGAACTTAGCCAGGTCCCTTCGGGCTTGGCCTAGCACAGGTATCTGGGAGTCCAGGACGTGACGCTCCCACGTGGGCACAGGCTGCTTCCCTCCCACTCAGCACTGGCCCCAGCGGGCAGGCATCCTTCCCCCAGGCTTCTCCGTCCTAAGAGAGGAGCGCTATTTCCTAGGTGGCTAGCAAGGGAGCGGTATGGGCAGGGAGGGTCACAGGCCGTGTGGACACAGGGCACCCATGGGCTGGGCACTGTGCCATGCACCCTGCCAGCACTGTGTGCCGCTGCCACCTCGTCCTGCTTCCTGGCACTAACCTCAGACCTGCCCCTGCTCGCTGCCCTCGTTCTCAGCTCTCCCTTCACCCCAACCACGGAACCTGGCCCTGTGCCTCCCACGGACGACCCTGGAAAGGTCCCAGTGACTTCCATGATGCTGGACTCAGTGGGCAGTTCTGTCTTCATCTTACCTAACATCTTGACAGGATCAGCAAATTCTTTCTCCTCCCTGAAACCACGTCTCTCCACTTGACTTCCAAACACCACACTTGCTTCCTTTCTGTCCACCTTCACAGGCTGCTTCTGCGCCCTGTTTCTGGCTCCTCATTCTCATCTCTCCTAAGCTATGGCTTTAAACATCATCTGGTGACTCCATGTTTGTTTGTTTTTTGCCTTCAGCCCTGACTTGTCCTAGAAATTCCTCTCTCTCCTCATACGCCTATTCAGTTCAGTTTGGAGATCTAAAATGCACTCCAAACTCAACATGTCCAAGTCAGAACCTTTGACTTTCTGCCTATAAGCTTCTCTTCCTTGACTAATGGCAACTCCACCCTTTCACCTGAAACCGTTGGAGTCACTGTTGACTTTTTCTCTCACAACCCCTGTCTAATCTGTCAGCATATTTTAATGGTCTCCCTTCAAAATCTGGGCTCCCTATCTCCTCCTCAGTCCAGCCATCATCATTTCCTACCTGGACAACGGAGCAATTTCCTCTCTGCCCTCCAACCAGCTCTCCATCCAGCAGCCACTTGGATCACGCAATCTGTCAGCAGAAGCCCCCAGGGCTCTCTGGGTCAGGCCCGGCCCCTCTCTAACCCCAGGACCTTCCACTACCCTTGCTTCTGAGGCCCCGCACTTCCTAAGGGTGCTCCTGTCTGGTACCCTGCTCCATTCTTCTCCAGCAATGAGCTTTTCAGTACACCACTATGTAAACTGGAGAAGTCCAGCTCTAGGCCAATGCCGTCCTCTCTCTGGGCCTGAAGTTTCCTTGTAAAATGGAAATGAATGTCAGTCCTACCCACCTCATGAACCACCCAAGTCCTTCAGCTGGAGCTGAAGACCTGTTAGAGTAGGAAGCTTCCTGGAAATCCCTGAGGCCGTTTTATCTGCCAGGTGCCCAGGACAGTGCTGCCCAGCTGGCGGGTGTGGCAGCCAAGGCGGGGAGCCTGGGCCCCGGGGCCCACCTGGCAGACTGCAGTCCCTCAAAAGCCGCGTTGGGGTAATGCGCCTCAGCCCCAACCTCGTCCATTTCCTTGCCAACGAGGGAAATTTCAGGCCCACACCTGCTTCAAAGCAAGGCCTGGGCCTGGCTTTTGCCTCTCAGGATCAAGGTGGCCTGCCCAGCCTGGGGTGAAAGCTGGGGACCAAAGGGCCAGCTCTTGGCAGACTGCCCAGAGTGGCTCCAAGGCAGCGAGGGTAGCTCCCTCGGTGAGGCTTGTCTGAAAGCCACCCTGTCCTGGGGCAGCAGCCACACCCGCTCCTGTCGGAAGGGAGCCACAGCGGCCCCTCCCACTGTGCTGAGCCGGGGCAAGGGGCTCCTTGGGAAATGGGGAAAAGCCCCATTCAGCAGCCTGCAGGGAACCCACGGAAATGGTACGTGGGCAGGGGTGGGCAGAGAACCCACCGCATCAGGAGGCCACGAGGCCTGGCCAGTGCTCCCCATGCCCACACAGGCTGCCCAGCCTTCTGTGCCCACTGGTAGCAGGGAGAGCCTGGCACAGGGCCCCTGCCACCTCAGCCAGCGGAACGTCCCGCTCCAGGGCTCCAGCATAAGGCTGTCTGGGCCCAGCTTCCCAGACCATAGGGTGGGGTCACCCAAGGCCTGTGTGTGCCTCAGCCTAGTGCCTGTGCCTCCCTGAGGGTGACTGTGACTGTCCAGCCCCCAGGGAAGAGGCAGCGGGTGGCTGGGTAGCACAGCTCCCGTCCTCACTGGAGCAGAGCACCCAATAGCCGCCTTTCACACGCACAGCTGTGTCCTTCATCCAGACACCCGGACCTGTGCCATTCCAGGGCCGGTGCCCTTCCGCCCCCGACTGTCTGGCCTCCGCTGGCTGCCTGGCTCCTGTAGTGATTGGGGGGGGGGG